TGTGTTTGGGTTAGGGGGGGGGGGGGGGGAGGAGGAATAGAAATGGTTAGGGATGGTTTGGACGAAGAAATGTGGATAAAGAGGAGATTTCAAAATTATAAATTTCAGTTTAAGATTTTGGAAGGCACGTTTTCAAGTGGTTTTTCAAATCAATCCAAAATAAGAGCTCAAAGTGAACTTTGCTTTTTATATTTTTATTTTTTTTATTTCTCCGAGCAGTATGAATTTATTTGCAATGGGATTGATTTATATAGAGTGACGGTCTGGAGAATTACATTATAGGTGCAATATAATTGGCCTTAGCAAGTGATTTACCAAGTCTGAGGGTATATTAGAAACAACCTCTCCACCTTCAAGGTGGGGTAAGGTCTGCGTATACACTACCCTCCCCAGACCTCACTTGTGGGATTGCACTGGGTTTGTTGTTGTTGTTGTAAGTGATTTACCAATTTTAGCTTCCCCGGTCCTTCTTTGTTTTACTTTCAATAGTTTTCTTTCGAGGTCTTGATCTCATTTCCAGAAGGTAACATAAATCAGTAGCTTTAAGCAAGAAAGAAATATCTGTTAGAGAAACACAACCACCGGAGAGATGAAAAGCTTCCAAGAATCAGGGCTAAAATGAGTAAGCTGTCGTGACAACTTCACTGTAAACTATTTATACAATGTATATCAGACTAGTGTTGCTTACTTTGTTGAAAGACAGTACCATTTTAACAACTATTGGAGTTCAGATATGAGATATGACTCTCACGTGATTTCTGAACTCAAATCAGAGGCACTTAAAACATATCTGATGCCCACAAACCAATCCATTCAAGACAACAGAAATAAAAAGTTTAGGTGGGTCTGTTCACTTGGCTCTCTGGAGTCTGGATGATCTTGCGTCAATTTTGGGTGTTTTCCTTGAATAATCATTACACATTCGAAGCAGAAATCCGTTGTGGGGGTGCCATCCATCTTTAGGGATTCATGGTGTTGATTATTACAAAGGAGACTAAAGGGGAGAGTATCGTTGAAGGATAGCAGAGTAAATAGCATCTTACGCAATCATTTGCCAACAATTATTTGGAAGATGTTGGTTGACGCTTCTTCCAGAAAGTTTGAAAACTCTCTCTGTATATCTTGCTGAAAGAGACTAGCTTGGTGTAAGAGAATAATGTGTAAATTTATAATTGATTTGCATGTGCATTTACTAGCTAGACCTGATCAAGGTAATATTGAGAGTATCTGAGTCTCTTACTAGGGCAATCTGTGTACACTGTACAGGGTTGTGAACGTGAAGTTGCTGAGGCAGAAAAAGGATCCTCTGATGAACTCAAAAGTGAATGCATCATGCGTCTGTCATGGGCTCTTGTCCACTCAAAACGGCCAGAAGATGTGCAACGTGGAATAGCAATGCTTGAAGGTGAGATCTTTAATCCTCTTGCTTTGGAATCCATGCCTCCTTTTCATTCTCGATTCTGGCATGTTCTTGCTTTTCATGCCCCCTTGGAATCCATGCTTTGGCTTATAAATTAGTCTTTTCCCTAGCTCTTAGTCATTTTACCTTTCTACTCCTCTCCTTCCTCCTACCTTCTCCTTTTGCATTGCAATTTATTGTTGTAACTCCTCTTTTAACTAGCTTCCTTCCTTGGAAATATAGTTCCTACCTGGCTATTTGGAAGAGCTCTGACTTATTTGGTCATTTGCAGCTTCTCTGGGTGGCAGTAACAGTCCCCTGCAAATGAGGGAAAAGATTTATCTTCTGGCCGTTGGCTACTACAGAAGCGGGGACTATGCAAGAAGTAGGCAGCTTGTTGACCGTTGTTTGGAGGTTTGATCTTTGTTTTTCAATCTTTGCTGGGATATTAACTCTTCACTTCGACATTAAAAATCTGAGATATTTATCTATGAAGTTTTGCTCTGTTAGTATGTTTTGATCAATGAAGTTTTTGGCAGCTTGATTTAAGAAATTGAGGAATTGCATACTTGAACCAAGCTTGAACTAGTTCTATTAGTCTTTCAGTTCTTTCAACGTCTGTTTTTCAACAGTCTTAATTTGTAGCTGTTTAAATCTGTAGATTGCACCGGATTGGAGACAGGCTTTGACCCTCAGGCAAACTATTGAAGACAAAATCACAAAAGGTAGCACACGGAATATATGTCTTAAGTTAATTATCAGCATCTGTTTCTGGTTAAAGGAAGAGTTTAGGGGTTACTCATTTTGCTTTGTCCTAGCAGATGGAGTTATTGGCATTGGCATTGCTGCTACTGCTGTTACTGCAGTTGGTATCCTGGCTGGTGGAATTGTAGCTGCTTTGTCCCGCAAGAAATGACCCATCGGTACCACTAACCAGCATAACGGACTCCCCCGCTCTGGTCTATATATACATCAGGGATTTTGATGCTTCCTTTCTTTATAGAAACACTGACAGCTGCAACTAAAGCAAGGATGTAGGTAGCTTTGTTTGATGGTCTAGTTTATTTGTAATAATGATGACTTGTCTATGTTCGTCTAAATTCTAGCAGAAATGATCTATGTTTGCTATTTCTATACAACAAGTTGGTTTCCTTCCTCCCTCTGATATTCTGGTTTCTTTGCGTTTTCAAATCGTGAAGGTTTCGCCGCTTGTTCATAACTGGCTAGGACATGCTATTTACAATTTACATACAGTAGCGGATTCAGAAATTTAGACGCCATGGATTCCAGGTTTAGAGAATGAGTCTCAAATGTATATCTAACTCTATCTACACTTGTTTTTTACACACATATATAAGGACTTCAAAGGACTGGGTTTCTCGAGTTCGTAAACGCATGGTTGGATTTGCCATCGTCTACATAGAGAAAAGTATCATTATTTTCTTGTACAATGGAATATTGTACAAGAACAATATATCTTCATTCATCTCTATATTCTCTCTTTCGAAGGTCAAGAGCCTTGGCGTCTTCGGTAAAGTTGCCTCCATGTGACCAGGAGGTCAAGGGTTCGAGCCGCGAAAACAGCCTATTGCAGAAATACAAGGTAAGATTGCTTGCGATAGACCCTTGTAGTCCAGCACTTCCCCGGACTCGGGCATTTTTTACCCCTGCGCTCGTTGATCTTCTTCTCCTTCACCTTAATAACTTAATCAACTTTCTCTATTCTAATCAAATGCACATTTGAAAACCGTTTTTGGTTCTCCAAATCCTTTGAGAAATTCACAATTTAACAGAAATTCATCAAAATTTACAGTTCTGCCTCCGTCGTTACAATAATCACGTTAAACACTGAAATTTTAACATAGTTCTCGTTCTTTAAGTCATTGAAAGAATTGTGTTATTTTGCTATAGTTTCTGGTAGTTGCTATGTTGCTTTTGAAGTGTATAGTAGTCCATACTGTCCCTTTAAATGAAGTGTTTTTATAATTCACTAAAAAGGATAAGGAGCAAAATAAAACGTAGTGATATATTTGGTAGCAAATTAGAAAAAAGTCAAAACACATAGTGAAATCAAGAAATGTTGCTTACATTAGGGTGAAAATTGTAAAACAAAAGGATGCAAGTCAAAACATGATACATATAAGGTGCAAAACATTCGTTTCTACCTTTTTCGAGGGAAAAACGAGAAGGGACGTATCACTATCAATAGGGATCGCTTCCATGATAGACTTTGAAACTTTGCTTTGGCTTTTGATGTGCGATCCCGGATAACATGACTTGCCTTCAAACGTGTTTTACCTTCAAAGGAGAGTAATCGATCCGCGGATAGCAAGGCAGTAAAGATTAAATTTATTGGGAGTTGAGTCATGTCTATAAATTATAATTAAGTCAAGTAACACAACGTACAAGACTCTGTGGCCCAATGGATAAGGCGCTGGTCTACGAAACCAGAGATTCTGGGTTCGATCCCCAGCAGAGTCGTTTGGTCTTTTGTTATTTTCCAGCATCTTTTTTTTTAACTCTTTCCGTTGTCTGCTTTTAATATTTTCCCTCTTGTTTTGATAACCCATAAATAAATAAATAAATTTTGAATGAAGATTTTACAAAAATGAATTAATTAAGAAAATCATGGTTAACTGCGCAAAGTGAAATAATTGAAGACCAAAATTATAATTTTTGAGTGGTTTTGTGTGATAATGAGGTCAGTGAAACTGTTCAAAGTGTAAGTAGGTAAAATAAATTAGTCACAATGTTTGCTTAACCAAATGAAAAACATGGATTTAATAAAATATGAGAATCTATTAGTCAAAGAGGTAAAGAATCTCTACCTCTTATTAGTCTATGGATTTTAAACTTATATATACTGACAGTGTAAACAACAACAACAACATACCCAGTATAATCCCACAAGTGGGATCTGGGAGAGTAGAACGTACGCAGACCTTACCACTACCTGGTGAGGTAGAGAGGCTACCGATACACCCTCGGTTCAAGAAAATGTGAAAAAGGAAGAAAAGGGAAGAAGAAGAAGAAAGCAATAAGAAGACAAAAGACGAAAAGGAAAAGGGGGAGAAAAGGAAAACCCGAAAAAGAAAAAGTAGCATCAAATAGTAACAACATGGAAATAAGATAAACAAAGTGAACGAAATAACAGGCAAATAATAGAGATCAAAGAATATGAAAATACAAGAGTTCTACTAATACTACAGGTAATGAAAGGGGAACTCTCGACTACCTACTAGCGTTCTACCCTAATACGCTTATAGCGTAAAGTAAGTGAAAAATCGCTTGAAAAGAAAGACAGTGTTATTGAAGTCAATCAAACATCAGCTGATCTCAAGTTCATTAAAGAATGAAACATAAACAAAGACTCTACCCAATACTTCAAAAACAAATGCTATAAATACAAGATAAATTCCAGCAAAAATAGGGACAGAGAAAATAGAAAAAGCAAAAAAGAATTATATCACTCCTAATATTCAAGCTTTCATCATTCAGCTCTGGTATTATAGATATTTTGCAATTCGCGGCGACTACAACTGTGATGCTCAAGGATGTACACTAAACCAATATTTGAAACTGCTATAACTATAAACAAATTCTTTAGTTTTCGTTCTGCAACGAAAGCACAGCGAAAGCTTCCATGTGATGATCTCTTTCTTTCAGATCCTGCGAAATCCTTACCTTGCTGCTAATAAAGCAGATGCAATAGAAGAGGAAATTGACGCAATGCAGCTTTCGATGTTTGCTATGGGTTGCATGCTTCACCTTCTAAAAGAATATCAGTCATATTAAACTTGAATTTCCTGTCTTCTAGAATCGACTTCCTCAGAAGACGATCCACCTTCTTCTTCATGCTTAAGTGATTCACCATTTGTATTACATAGTCGGGTTGATAATGTCGGAGATAAAGGTGTGTAACTAGTACCTGCATTTTGATATTACTTTTAGAGCTAGAGCATTTATGATATTAAGTATTTGGGAATGAATATAAGGTTTTTCATAAAAATTATAGTATGAAGAATAGTGAACCTCGGAAAGATGAACTTCTCTCCATATCTTTCGTAACATGCAACAAGATGGTTCCGGAGAGCACAACGATAAAACCACATATTCCTGATATAATGCTTCCAACATTCTGGCCATCCCAGTCCTACATAATTTAGTATAAATAGGCCGATAAGTATGACATGAAAGTTTCAGACAACTAATCATGTTCCACATTGTCAATGTGCAGAAATGTTCTTGACGTCCCTAACAGCATAGGTTCTTTTTTTTTTGTTAGTCGGTATTTCCAAGTCATGTATAATATTGATATAAGATGAGCTTAAATCGAGAGATATGGTCATTGAGGATTCATATAGCAAACCCAACTTGATTGGAATTGAGGCATAGTTGTTGGTGTTATTTCCAAGAAGGGGCGGAACTACCCTTAGCGAAGGGTGGTCAGTTGAACCGCCTTTGTTGGAATAAACCGTGTATATAGATCAAATAATACTTTTTAGACTTATATATGAAATCTTGAACACTGTTAGCGAAATTCCTAGCTTCGTTCCAAGTCATGCTATTTTAGGACTGTACGTGATTCTAAGGCGTAAATTTTGGGATAAATTCCCAAGAAGCGGATTAACTCTAACTGTACTCATCATTCTCTAGTAACAAGCTCAACGCAAAGCAATAAAAGAAAAAAAGGTAGATGCTAGTACCTTAAACATGATGACACTGGCAACAATAGTCAGTGTTGTGAACATAACATAGTATATAGGAGAGACAACGGCAGTGTTGAAGGTATCAAGGGCCTAAAACATGGAAAGCAAAAAGTGATGTTAAAGCAGAGATTATCACTTTTACACTAGAAACCAGGAATCAGGATTAATAAGAGGAAGATTAGCTATCACACCATTTAAGATTGATTCCTTAAAGAAGTTCAAGAATAACTGCTAAATTTTCAAGAAAAGGCTGCATAACAAACAACAAAAACAACAAACCCAGCTTAATCCCATACGTGGGGTCTGGGGAGGGTAATGTGTACGCAACCTTACCCCTACCGTATAAAGGCGGAGAGGCTGTTTCCGATAGACCCTCGGCTTAAGGAACGGTAAAAATAAAGCAACAAGAAATAACAACAGTAATATAATAAGGTAATGAAAGCAAGTGGCATAACAAGTAATAAAGAACTAGGAATAGAAGAATGCAAGAATATTACTAGTACTACTGGCAAACCTAGGAGGAACTCACAACTACCTGTCAACCCACCACCTTAATACCTCCACACCTTCCTATCGCTAGTCATATCCTCGGTTAGGTGAAGCACCGACATGTCCTGCCTAATCACCTCTTCCCAATACTTCTTTGGCCTACCCCTCCCTTCCTAAAGCCCGCTATGGTCAACCTCTTACACCTCTGAAGATTGACAAAGGGAAAAAAAAAACTAAAATATGACCTCTGCAATGAGAACGGCCTTCATTAAACAATAGTATCTAGAAACTAATTTAAGACTATTCCATCGGTCAGTCAAAAAAATGAAAAAGAAAAATCTCTAATCCGAACTGCTAAACTTGCAAAATTCATAAACACAAATGTTATCCACGACCCTAGACATATAGGATATCTAAAATATTCCAGTCAGCAGTTTAGTGGTTCTGAAGTTAAAATTTCAGACGCACTTTTTTTTGTGATAACCAACATTTCAGATAGACCTTAAAGTTAAAGCTATTAAGAAATGAAAGACTCTTGATACTTCCACAAATATGCGCTACTCCCCTTATCCT